TTCAACTTGTAATAATATTTAATATTTAATATTTAGTCTCAACACACTGATGATAATTTATTTTAAATAAATAAATTATTTAATGTCTTAAAAATTATGTTATAATGCTATAGAAAATTCAAATTATAATGACGGAAAGTATAACACAATCGTAATAATACCTATAAAACACAAATTTCGAAACTATATTACAATAATTTATACATAAAATTTTTATATTATAAATTTTATATTATATATTTAAGACTGCTACGTTCGAGGAGTGCTATCTATCAGTTGTTATTATGATGAAAGAAGATTTGTTACATCATGAATCATTATGTTATTTCACCTCTTGCTATGTTCGAAAAGCACCCTCCTTATGTATTTTTAAATAGCAAATATTAAATTCTTTCTTCACATAAAATAATCTTGATTTGTGATGTTTTTTTTTGCATGAAAGAATTTCAAATTACTGTTGAAAGATCCGTTTATGATAGATTTATCAACCCATCTGCCATGTCAGCAATTCCAAATGCCAGTGCTGGGATCCCTATCATATTCTGTCTAGAAGACCATATATGTGTGTCAGAAACCTTGATGTGTATTGCACCGCCATGTCCTATAACAAGCATCTGTATGAACATATCTTCAACAACAACAGCTCCACCTGATTTGACAGATTAATCCTTGCAGATTATCAATTCATCACAGCTATTTCTCTGCAACACGCCAGATAAATTAACTTGTTCGCATTTGTACAACTGCCTGATATATAAGTACTTCTAATAAGAGTTGAGACATCTTGTACCGATTTATTTGTGTAAAGAACAGAACAGAATAAAAAAAATTAAACATTTACTTTATATATCATTCATATTTTCTTACAAAAGCAACTTCAATATGCTCTATTTCCAAAACTGTTCGGAATCGATCATGTTTATTTTGAATGGTTTTCTTATGCTAAAGCTAAATAGTACCAGTTTTGATACTGAGTTCAGATCAACATCTTGTATTAACGAGTTGTTAATCGAAGATGACAAAAAAATGACTCACAATAAATATTTTGAAGTGTTTCAGTCAATCAGAAAAAATAATTTTATTAATTGCCCAAACAAAGAAATTTATGTTATAATGTTATAAAAAATACAAACTTCTAATGACAAAAAATACAAACTTCTAATGATAAAAAATACAATCTTAATAATACTTACATAATACAAATTTTGGAAACTACATTGCAATAAGACGAATTTAAACCTCTTATATTATTAAAATTGCTATGTTCAAGGAGCACTAGCTATCAGAATTATTATGATGAAATAAGACTTCTTACATGAGCATTATTATATTACCTCTCTTACTATGTTCGAGAAGCTCTCCCTCAAGTCATTATGTCT